TTTTGGCATTTACATTCTTAATATCACTTTAAATAAAGTCTTCTTTATTTTATGGGGATGGATCTTGATGATCATTTATGGTTGGTGGTGCCTTCCATCTTTATTCCATAGTTTCTCCATGCCTACCATGATTCTGTTGTTCTAGGTGGGCATATGGGACATCATTGTGTGACCAAGAAGCTGTGCAGGTCTTTCTATTGGCCAGAGATATGACGTGATATTATTCAGTATATACGTCGATGTGTTTGGTGCCAAGCTCATAATACTCCCTCTCGTGCCACAGAAGGACAATTGAAGTCAATTGTAATTTCCTGTCTATTTAAGTTGGTGGCGTTTTGGGACTTTTTCCATTATTGACTATTGACAATGAATATGTTATTATTATTTTTTATTATTTGACTCATTGGGTGGAAGTTGATGCTCTTGCTAGCACCTCTACAACTGCTATTGGATACTTCCTCCTCAATCGAGTGGTATTCCAGTATTCTTGTCTGGAGCGGATTCTTTCAGATAATGGTCCTGCATTTATGGCTGAGGCATTTTATATTTTGACGTCTCGATTAGGGATACATCACACTTTCATGAGTGTTTATCATCCACAGTCAGATGGTTTGGTGAAATGGCTCGTTCGGATATTCAAAGAAATGATTGCGAAGTACGTGAACTTTCAGCATTCAGATTATGATGGTTATTTGCTATTTTTTTGGTATGCATATGTTATAGAGGTGCAAAGTTCTATTAGTGCTTCACCATATAAATTCCTATATAGTCATAATCCAATATTACCAATGGAGCTGAGTTTACTTTCACAATTGCCACAAACTGCTGATGCTAGGTTGTGGGATCAATATTTGATGAGCATTCTTCCACTTGTCTGAGCAGAGTCTACCGAACACTTAGGTTGTGTACAAGTGGGACAACAATGGCGCTACAACTCCCATCATCGTCCACTTGTGGAGTACAAAGTGAATGATTTGGTATTAGTCTATTTTCCCCATTTTATGGCATGTGGTTTATCTAAGGGGCTCCTTGCTCAGTGGAAAGGACTGTATTGAGTGTTGCAGCAAATTGGACCACAAGTTTATAAGGTTTGGCATGACTTCCAATACGCCGATCTTTCAGAAATTGTGCATGTGTAATTGTAGCGCATCTTATCTCTCTCCCCTTAAGCCAACTGGAAAAGGGGCAATTGCTTGATGAGAGAGCCTTTAGTGGCTATTTTATCCCCATTTATCTCCCAAGGTTCCAAGGATCCACGGTGATAGTATATCCAAATCTCATCCTATGATCATATGCACTACACTCACCCCCCCTTCAGAGATGTCAATGTCCTTATTGACTATTGACTAACAACCCCTGCTGAGCCAAGGGGAACCAGCACCTTCATTTCCGCACTCAATCTACCAATCCTTCCATTGTGTAGACCAGCTATTCCATGTGAGGCAACTAGTCATCCACCCGTACCACAGTCCCACAGTGGATACTTTCGTCCGTGGATACTCCACACAAGAGGAAAGACGTACGCATGGATGCCCAATACGTACGATTTCAAATTTAGGGGTAGGAATATACTTTACTCAAGGGTATATTATACTTTTAAGGAGCCACTAATCAATGAGAATCAAACCCGTGCCATTTGCTCTGATACCAACTGTAGCGCACTTTATCTCTCTCCCCTTAAGCCAACTGGAAAAAGGGCAATTGCTTGATGAGAGAGCCCTTAGTGGCTATTTTATCCCCATTTATCTCCCAAGGTTCCAAGGATCCACGGTGACAGTATATCCAAATCTCATCCTATGATCAAATGCGCTACACTAAACGAACGAACGGTGCCAAACTCCCAAGCGTGAGCCAAGGAGTGATGGAACCGAACCACGGAGCAACTCTCAAGTATATAGCTCAAGGAGCGAAGGGACAGGGGCCCGGGGCGACTTGGAACAATCCTGGAGCAACCAGCATCCTAATGCCAGGACTAACACGCAAAACGGAGCCAAACGGAGTCTGGCGCTATTTCGGCATACCGGTGGCCTAACGCGAGGATATGGGTACTCCACCAACTAGCATGGAATGGAACTTGGGCTTGGGCTTAGACCCAAGCCGGACGCAGAACAAGGACAGGCACGCAAACGGGAGCTAGCCTCAGGTTGGTCGGCCATGCCCGACCTACCCACTATCCCTACTATACATTTGGAACCCCCCACAGCCCCCCCCCCTTGAAGAACACACGCTTTGGGCTTTCACCCCAAGCCTCCCTTAGTATCAGGAGTTAGTCTTTGGGACAAGCTCGAAACTTACTAAATATGGAATGTCTTTAGATTGCGAATTTGGACACGGGACGAACACCATTGTGTTCAGGCCGATCTCTACATTCCGTAGATATGCCAAATGAGCAAATCTGGACACTTTCCATAAATAGCATTTGGGACCAAAATGAGACTAACACAAAGGGCATGATAGCGAGGGTGTTTGGCAGCGTTCGTTCGTTTAGTGGCCCAAGGCCCTAAACCTCAGGTTCCTATGGACACGTGGCATGTGACACGTGGCATCTGTCACATGGCACAAAGAGGGTTTAGGTTCTGCTTTGTGGTGTTATCCTATGGTAAATCACCATAGGATAAGGGTCAAAACCACGTGTGCTACAGTAATAGTTGAAATACTTTGTACAAAGGGATTAGGAACAATTGATACCACTTACAAATCCGTCAATACCTCCTACTAGCGTTCTTCCAGATCCCAACCCATCTACAAGAAAACTTTGATGGTTTTTCATTATTCTGAAAAGAGGGGATGATGTGAAGTCCAAGTGTATGGTTATGATGTTGTATACTAATATTAGTGTAGCGGGACTTTGGTAGCCATTGGATTGGTTTCAATCTGGACCACTCGCTTCTGTATATAAGTTAAGGGCACATTTTTTGTATTCTCTTTCCATATTCTATGCACTCACATATCTTTGTTATAGGTGATCAACTATTTTTCTTTTCTTCCTAATAATAAGCATAGAAGATGATTGTTTATCTCTGCAAATTATAAGGATATCAAATAGCATTTCCCTTATATTGATCACGTCAATAAAATGTAACAAGAAGTCATCTTTTAAGAAGTCTTTACCTTATATTTATCAATCTAGGGGAATGTTTCATTATACTACCAGTGGCAATGATATGGTGGAGGGGGATGAGGCTATTTTCAGTAGGATCTCCAAGATAAAAGAATTAAACCATCCTGCTCTTTCATAATTGTTAGGGAAACTATTAAATTCTTTAAAAAAATTTAAGATAACTGAGAAAATAATATTTAAATATCTTAAATAAAATCAGTAACAATATATATCATGAGGTAAATTAAGTCCTATACTCCTTAATAATACATGTTTTTTGATGGGTCTTGCAGCATCCATGAAACCATAATACAATGGATGTAAATTGAAAACCTTAACTAACATTTCATATCATGGTTATTTCTAAACATAATAACTTTGAGCAAAATGAAAAACAAAACTTATAACATAAAATATCCCTGTTGAGAATATTGTCCCTGTAAAGAACCGTTGATCAACTAGGCCACATCTGTATGCTAATGAGAACTGGAAAAGAATGAGAGGAACTGCCAATAAAGCTATGTAAGGATCAAAAGTCCATGCATCACAACTCCGAGCTTTGGCCAATATCTGCAAAGACAATAGCGAACATAAGCAAATCACAAAAAAAGGGAAGAACTTGAATGACAAAACTCTTCTCCAGTCCAGCCAAACTAAATTTCAGTGACCAGAAAACCTACCTTCTGAGTCTCTTCACCCAGCAGCTCCTTGGCCGATTTACACGTACATGTTGGGGGAGCGGGCGATGGCGGTTGTTGTGGCTTGAATGAAGAATCGAAGACCTTGGGCCGGGTGCGCTTAATCAAGGGCTCATACACCATCATGGTGCCAAGCGTGCAGCGGGACTCCTCCCGGTGGTGTGACAATATCCTGAGCTTGAGATACCTCACCCAGTGATCCGTCCTGGGGAGTATAAACGCCTGAAAAGCCCCGATATCATCCTTAGCCTCAAGCCTCCCTAAGAGCGTCCATTCCTCGGTCGGATACTCCAGACTTCCTAGAAGCTCCAGATCTCTTGGATAGGACGAATCCTCGTCGTAATTGGCTATGAGGATTGCGCCTACAAAGGTCTCCTTCGAGAGCTCCACAACCACAAACTTGTCCTCGGCACTGCATGGGCTGCTATAGTGCCGGTCTTTGTCCCTGTTGAGAATGTTGCCACCACCCTGGGCCTCCTTGTTGAAGCTCACGACTCTGGCTCCGTTCGCGGCCGCGGCATAGTTATGTTCTTCGAGCCGGACAAATGGACCCTCGTATTCATTCGTGTTCACCATGCGCTTATACTCGGCAAGGCTAGTAACTTGGAATTTTGGCACCGGGCCCCCTCCCTGCAAATTTTCAAGAGTCAGATCAAAGAAACAGAGAACAATGGAAAGATGTACCAAAGTCGGGATTCCCAGTTGGAAGATAGAGCATAAAAGCAAGATCACGAAGAACACAAGCGCCATACCAGATTCCCCCACAAGACCTGGCGGGCTTTATAAACCCTACTCCCTGGAAAGGAAGACGGCTTTATAAACCCTATTGCTCGCCAAAAGGAGAAAGGGTATTTCGCATAAGTCTTGCAAAAGGTTGTTTTTGACTATATGAAGTGTCGCACTAAAGAACCCTATCTAAGGAATTTTGTGGAAAGTATGTGGGGATTATTGTGGCGAGTGATTTACAAGCTATTCTTCAACTCGTCTCCAGCCATAACTTGGCATGACGAAGAGAGACCCAAATTTAGAGGTGACATGGAGGACGAACTCGCCGAAGCAACCATGTGGTATCGATCTATGCGGCTAAACAAGCTGCGCCCACGGCTAGAATCCATCCAAGAGTAAATGAAAGCACCATGATTGCAAATTGCCATGATAGAACAAAGTTGAGTGAAAATTTTTCTATGCAAGCAAGTTTTATGTCTGAAAAACTTTCGGATATGTCTTTATCTCTTATGATTCACGCTAAATAACAAGAAAAAAAGGTAATCCCTCTTCGTTTGCTCCTTTACACTAATCCTTTAAATCATCGCCACCTGGGAAAAATAAAATCGCCACCGTCTCACGACGATTTGATCGATCTACAAACTTCGAATCGACAAAAGCTTGTCTCTGCTGTTCCAGTCCTCCTCAGTCACACGGCAAGTATGAGCATCACCAGAGAGCCTGCTACCGCAAGGACGATTGGGAATTTGGTCTTTGGCAAAATGAGAAGCGTCGCTGCCAGGAGCGCCACACTGAACGCAACGAGCTCTCGATCGGCCATGCGAGCCACTTGCATCCTACATAGACTGCAAAAAGGAAAATAAGAGAGAGAGAGGCCATATAAGAAAACGACCTGGATTGCGAGAAAACCATACCTGAGCTCCCCCGTGGATTCGGAAAACATCTCCTCAGCGACACGTAGCTTCAAAGACAAACAAATCAACAAAGCAAAGTGAGCACGAGAAGGAAACATATAATATGATAATCTTACTTGCTTCTTCCAAGCGTCATTCATACTCTTAAGTCGCTTCATCACGTTCGACAGCTCCTGATCGTACTCCTTCAAAACAGCGCTGTGATGAGTGCTCAGATCGTCAACGTACTTCTCCAGAACTCTATGTTCCCTTTCCAATTGCTTCAACTTTTCGATCAGGAACTTGTTAAGCGACGTCGTAGAAGAACCATGGGAACCACCGGTGGAACCTCCTGCGGGACCAGCGTTCGTAGGACCACCAGGCGTTGTTGATGCGTCCCTTTTGTCTCCTACATCCGGCTTTCGTGAAGGATCGCCACCAGAGTCTTCATTGCTCTTCCTGCCAATCCAACCTTCCAGCATGCGTTCGATCGCGACTCCAAACACCTCGACGGCGCTAAGCGTGCAGTAAAACTCCGCCCCATAGTGAGACAGTATCCTCAGCTTGAGATACCTCGCCCACTCCGGCTTCGGCAGCACAAACCTTTGGGGTTGCCTCACGTTCTCCGCCTCGAACTTCCCCAAGAGCTTCCACTCCTCGGTTGGAAACATCAGGCTCCCCAGCAGCTCCAGCTCCCTTGGATTGGACGAGTAGAGCTCGTAGTTGGCGATGACGATTGTGTCCACCAGAGTCTCCTCGGAGAGCTCCACAACCACGAACTTCTCCTCGGCACTGCATGGGCTGCGAAAGTACTTATCGTTGTCCTTGACGAGAATGTTGCCACCACCCTTGCCGTCCTTGTTTGAGCTCACAACTTTCGCACCGTGCGAGGCTGCGGCAAAGTTGTATTCCTTGCCCTCGGCTTCGAGCTTGTGCCGGACAGTGGTATTCTCCTCGACTGGATTCTCGTTTGCCGAGGCCTCAATCGTCGCCTGTCGCTTGTACTCGTCCAAACCAACGAGAGAAAAACGCACCGTCTTTCGTTCTTCCCCTGAAACCACTAGCTCTGTGCCAAGCTCCACTCCTTCTCCCTTGCTAGAATTCTGGTGCACGGGATCAAAGGCAGTGACTTCTTCTCCCTTGCTAGAATTCTGGAAAGTTCTATCAGTTCAGACGAACAAAGAAAAAAAACGAGAGAAGAAAAAAGCCGGAGAACCTACCTCAGTGAACAGAGCTGGAAATTTTTCTTCGGCAAGATCCCTGTTATTGGTTATGTCATTGGTTAGATTGGATGGAATCTCAAGGAGCTGTTCATCCGACTCGACAATCTGGTGCTGCGCTTCCGAAATCTCCGCGATTGAATGCTCATCGGGCTCCGGATCCCCGGAATGGAGCTCAATCCCGATCCCCGGTCCCGACGCGTAGCAGAAGAACAAGATTACAAGGAGCACGAGCGCCGCAAGACGTAGATCGCTCACCATACCGCGTCAAGATCCGGCGATCGATCGACGAAAGAACCTAGATCGGCGTCGCTATAAACCCTAGCCCGCGCCAAACAAGACGCAAGAACACATCCCTGAAATACCCGCCTTATGGGAGAGTATCGATGCCTTGTCCATCGCCACCACATAGCTGGCGTTGCGCTGGCAGGATTCGACCCTGGCACCTGTGGACGTTCGCAAGCATCACGTACGCATATGCCCCGCCATTACCCGCGGGATTCAAATTTAAAATCCCCTCCGCCGCGGCGGCGCCGCGCCGGGCATCGCCGTAGCTCCTGGCGGCCGCCAGGACGCTCGTCCACTCCCACACGTCCGGCACGAAGGGCATCTGCGCGATTAGGTCTAGGGCATCCGCGAGGTAGCCGGCGCGCGCGAGGAGATCCACCATGCAGCAGTAGTGCTGCTTGGTGGGATCCATGGCGTAGTCCGATCGCATCGCCAGGAACCAGCGGTGCGCCAGCGAGAGCTTCCCAATGTGGCTGCAAGCGATGAAGATCGAGGCGAAGCAAGCAGCATTCGGCAGATCCGTGAGCGCCATTGCAGCGAAGACCCCAAATGCGTTCCAGGACCGGCCCTTGTGAGCGTAAGCAGCGATCATCGCGCCCCACGAGGCGGCGCTGAGCGTCGGGAGTCTCTCGAAGAGCTGGGCGGCGGCGGCGGTGGCGGAGGGCGTACGAGACTGTACGGCGAGCATCGCGTTCCAGGAGACGTCGTCCTGTTGGGGCATTTGCTGGAATATCTGGCGGGCGTGACGGAGATGCCCGCCCTGGGCATATGCCGTCAGCATCGAGTTCCAGGAGACGAGGCTCTGCTGGGGCATGTCGTCAAACAAAGCTTTGGCCTCGCGGATATTCCCTGCTTGGGCATATCCCGTCACCATGGTGGTCCACGATACCAGGTCCTGCGCTGGCATCCCGTCAAACATTTTCTTGGCATCTTCCAGATCCCCATTCCGTACATAGGCCGACAGCATCGCGTTCCACGAGATTAGACTCCGCTCGGGCATCGTGTCAAACGTGTGCTTGGCCTCTTCCGTACGGTGGTTCTGGGCATATGCCGACAGCATCGCGTTCCAAGACACAAGATTCCGGTCGGGCATCGAGTCGAAGAGACTCTTAGAATCTTCCAGATGCCCCTTCTGAGCATATGCCACGAGTATAGCCGTCCAGGATACCAAGTTTTGCTCTGGCATTTTGTGAAAGACGTCCTTTGCCTTTTCCAGCATCTCATTCTGGGAATATGCCGCAAGGAGGGCGTTCCAAGAGACTTGGCTGTGCTCGGGCATGGAATCAAACGCGCCCTGGGCCTCTTGCGGGTGCCCGTTCTGGGAGAACGCCGAGAGAATCGAGTTCCAAGTGACGAGATTCCTCTCCGGCATGGCATCAAAGATCTTTCGAGCATCATCAAGGTCTCCGTTCTGCGAGAAAGCCACCAGCATTGCCGTGTAGGAGATGAGATCCCATTCGGGCATGGAATCAAAGACGCGCTTCGCATCGTCAAAATGCCCGTTCTGGGCAAATGCCGTGAGAAGAACATTCCACGACACAACAGTCCTCTGCGGCATCCGATCGAAGAGCCGCTTCGTGCCCTCGATGTTTCCATTCTGCGAGTAGGCCGTGAGCATCAAGATCCACGAGTGATAGTCCCGGATCGCCATGCCATCGAAGACCTCTCGCGCGAGAGCTGTGCTGCCGCATCGCCCATAGAGCTCCAGGAGTTTGTTAAAGACGTAGGAATCCCCGGGCTTGATGAAAGGGAGAATCTTCCCGTGGATCTCCCGCGCCTCTTGAAGACTCGTCCCGCAAGATCGGATGCGCAGTACGTACTCATCCCTCTGCGTTGGCGCCATGCCATCGCATGGCCACGTGGCGCAAGTACAGCTTGCCACGTGACACTGAAGTAGACTTGGCAGGCACTACGTGTCAGCATTTCCACTGCGTCGATCGGACAGCATTTCAGCTTAAGAGCTCCACGGGAAAAACGAGCGCGTGTGTGTTCTTGCTGGCTATGGAGGATCCAAGCTATCACGAGCTCCCGGATCAGCCGGAAGAAGAGAGATCGCAGAGGCAATCAGGGCTTTGCGAGGCAAGGACTGTCGCGAAGCTGTGCTCCCTGATTAGCGTGTTCCTGGCGCTCGTGATCCTCGTGTTCTTTCTGTGGCCCCGGGATCCGGAGCTGGAGGTAGTAGGGCTTGATTTCAAGGGCTTGAATCTCAACACCACCGGCGGCGTCCACCTGGATGTGGATCTCCGCCTGGAGATCCAGGTAGAGAATCCCAATTTCTTCGCTGTGGATTACGATCGCGTCACGGTGAGGATCTACTACCATGGCGATGAGCTCGGCCATGTCGATTCGGCGGGCGGCAGCGTCCCGGCGAGGAGGACGGTCAATCTCACCGCCAATGCGACGCTCCAAGGGCTGGAGATCGTCAAGAACGCAATGCGGCTGATCTCGGATGCGAACAAGGAGAAGATTCCAGTGAGCGTCGCGGCGGGATTCGATGGAAATCTCGAGATCCTGGCGATCCATCCATCCATCAAGGTGGGGCTTTGCTCTGCTTGCTCTAGAGCCTAGGGTTTATCGATTTTCAATGATTCCAGGTAGCAATCTCTTGCGATCTCGTCGTAGATCCCCGCAACAACACGATCCTGAGCCAGGAATGCGGCAATCAACACATCTCCTTGCTCGTCCCCGCGAGCGCGACGAGCGCTCCGCGAAATCTCCAGCGAGTTATCCCCGGATTCCCCGACTGGGCCTTCATCACGATCGCGGTCGTCCTAGGGCTCTTGGTCCTGGGCGGATTGGCGTGGCTGCTGTGGCCCAAGCCCCCGGAGATCACCGTCGAGAGCGTCCAGCTGCTAGGGTTCTCCACGAACAGCAAGTTCCCAGACAACTCCATGATCCCGGAGGTGGTCCTGGACGTCAATCTGGGCGTGAATCTTCGCGTGAGGAACAGGTATGTGATCGGCGTGCGCTACGATCGCATGACGGTCTATGTCGACTACTACGGCTACGAGATGTGCAAGGGCGAGCTCGAGGGCGGCGAGATCCCGGCGCGAGGGAGCGTGGAGGTGAGCGGCACGATCGATCTCCGCGGCGCCGAGATCGTCTATAATTCGGCCCAGCTACTCGCGGATGTGTCGCGGCGCGAGCTCCCGATCCACCTGCGCATAGGGTTCTATGGGAATGTGGGAGCCTCGTTTTTCAGGCCCCCCATCAAGGTAAGATCTTCTACCTCTCGATCGATCTTTGTGATGAAATTCTCTTTCGCACGCAGGCCTCAGTGAACTACGATATATTGGTCGATCCAGTGAGCCAAGAGATCTTAAAGCAGGACTACGAGTTGCCCAAGGTCTCCATGTAAGCCTGGCCACGTAAGCCCTAGCCACGTTGTACATGCCACGTGGTGTATAAGTCCTGCCACGTGGGTCATATATTTATTTAATATGACGCGGCAAGACTTTCTAGTCAAACGCGAATAGTACGGGAACGTTGACGGGTCCTCCGTTTCCATCGAACAGACGATGGAAGTTCTCGGCTATGGCGGCTTGCCCGCGCTCGTGGTTTCGTGGATCTTTTTCTTCTTCTCTCGAGCGAGTTCGCAGTTCCTGGAGGCCGATGCGCTGCTGGAATTCAAGCGCAGCGTGGTACCGAGTGGCGGCGGCGGCGCTCTCGCGGATTGGAGCGCGGGCTCGCGGCAGCTCGTGTGCAATTGGACGGGGATCACCTGCGATGGCGGTGGCAGAAGCGGGAGGTCCATCGCCAGGATCGATTTGGGCGGTCTCCAAATCGGTGCTAGCGTGGCGATGGATGATCACAGCGTCAACATTGCGCCCCTCCTGGGCGGCGGCTTGCGAGGTTTGGTCTTTCTCAACCTCTCGGCCAATCTTCTCCGCGGAGCTCTGCCGCCCAGCCTAGGGCTCTGCTCGCCATCGATCGCAACGCTGGACCTCAGCTCTAATCGCTTGGGAGGAGCGATCCCTCCATCTCTGGGGAATTGCTCGGGGCTCCAGGAGCTCGACCTCAGCCACAACAATCTCACTGGAGGGCTCCCAGCTTCCATGGCGAATCTCTCCAGCCTCGCCACCTTCGCGGCGGAGGAGAACAATCTCACCGGCGAGATTCCATCCTTTATCGGCGAGCTCGGCGAGCTCCAGCTCCTGAATTTGAACGGCAATAGCTTCTCGGGTGGAATCCCTCCATCGCTCGCCAATTGCTCGCGCCTCCAGTTCCTCTTCCTCTTCCGCAACGCCATCACGGGAGAGATCCCTCCATCGCTCGGCCGCCTCCAATCGCTAGAGACTCTGGGCCTGGACTACAATTTCCTCTCGGGATCGATACCGCCATCTCTGGCCAATTGCTCCTCGCTCTCGCGGATCTTGCTCTATTACAACAACGTCACCGGCGAGGTCCCTCTGGAGATCGCGCGAATTCGCCGCCTCTTCACGCTGGAGCTCACGGGAAACCAGCTCACGGGATCGCTCGAGGATTTTCCAGTGGGCCATCTCCAAAACCTCACTTACGTGTCGTTTGCGGCAAACGCTTTTCGCGGCGGCATTCCCGGAAGCATCACGAATTGCTCCAAGCTTATCAACATGGATTTCTCGCAAAACTCTTTCTCGGGAGAGATCCCGCACGATCTTGGCAGGCTCCAGAGTTTGCGGAGCTTGAGACTCCATGACAACCAGCTCACAGGTGGAGTTCCTCCAGAGATTGGCAACTTGAGCGCTAGCTCTTTCCAAGGCTTGTTCCTCCAGAGAAACAAGCTGGAAGGAGTGCTTCCGGTGGAGATTTCTTCGTGCAAATCACTCGTGGAGATGGATCTCAGTGGAAATCTCTTGAACGGGAGCATACCCAGGGAATTCTGTGGCCTCTCCAATCTGGAGCACCTGAATCTCTCGAGGAATTCCCTGGGTGATGGGATACCCGACTGCCTAAACGCGTGTTTCAAGCTCACTTTGCTGGATTTCTCGTCGAATTTGTTTGCTGGAACCATTCCTCGATCGCTCTTGAATTTTCCAAGCATGGCTCTTGGATTCTCTCTGGCTGGAAACCGGCTCCAAGGGAAAATACCGGAGGAGATTGGAATCATGACGATGGTGGAGAAAATCAATCTCTCCGGGAATAACCTTTCTGGAGGAATTCCACGCGGAATTTCCAAGTGTGTTCAACTCGACACTCTTGATCTCTCTTCCAACGAGCTCTCTGGCCTTATCCCCGACGAACTTGGCCAGCTTAGTAGCCTTCAAGGTGGTATATCTTTTAGGAAAAAAGATTCTATCGGTCTCACTCTCGATACTTTTGCAGGCCTGGATCTATCTAACAATCGCCTGACTGGAAAGATTCCCGAGTTCTTGGCCAAGTTGCAAAAGCTCGAGCACTTAAATCTCTCCTCCAACGATTTCTCCGGTGAAATACCATCTTTTGCTAATATCTCCGCAGCGTCTTTCGAAGGAAACCCAGAGCTCTGCGGGAGAATCATCGCAAAGCCATGCACCACGACCACGAGATCTCGCGATCATCATAAGAAAAGAAAAATTCTTCTAGCACTCGCGATCGGAGGCCCGGTTTTACTCGCTGCCACGATTGCAAGCTTCATATGTTGCTTCTCTTGGCGTCCATCCTTTCTTCGAGCTAAAAGCATCTCCGAAGCAGCACAAGAACTAGATGATCAGCTGGAACTCAGGACAACACTGCGAGAGTTCTCCGTGACCGAGCTCTGGGACGCCACCGATGGATACGCCGCGCAAAACATTCTCGGCGTCACGGCAACCTCAACCGTGTACAAGGCCACCTTGCTCGATGGAAGCGCCGCAGCCGTGAAGAGATTCAAGGATTTGCTCCCGGATTCGATCAGCTCCAATTTGTTCACAAAAGAGCTCCGGATCATCCTGAGCATCCGGCACCGCAACCTCGTCAAAACGCTGGGCTACTGCCGCAACCGATCGCTCGTCCTCGACTTTATGCCGAATGGAAGCCTGGAAATGCAGCTCCACAAGACGCCCTGCAAGCTCACTTGGGCGATGCGTCTCGACATCGCGCTGGGGACCGCTCAAGCGCTCGCGTACCTCCACGAGAGCTGCGATCCTCCGGTTGTCCACTGCGATCTCAAGCCTAGCAACATCCTCCTCGACGCAGACTATGAGGCTCATGTCGCCGACTTTGGCATCTCCAAGCTCTTGGAGACGAGTGAGGAGATCGCGAGCGTATCGCTCATGCTTCGAGGCACTCTTGGATATATCCCACCAGGTGTGCTTTCTTTAAGTTCTTCCGATCTTTCCAATCTTTCTAAACTTCGCAACTTTGATCTGTGACCACAGAATATGGCTATGCCTCGAAGCCATCCGTGAGAGGCGACGTCTACAGCTTTGGAGTGATTTTGCTGGAACTAATCACTGGATTGGCACCCACGAACAGCTTGTTTCATGGTGGCACGATTCAGGGCTGGGTTTCTTCTTGCTGGCCGGATGAGTTTGGTGCAGTCGTGGATAGATCGATGGGGTTGACGAAGGATAACTGGATGGAGGTGGAACAGGCCATCAACTTGGGATTGCTGTGCTCGAGCCACAGTTACATGGAGCGTCCATTGATGGGCGACGTAGAGGCTGTGCTGAGAAGAATAAGATCAGGAGGGAGCAGCAGCATGAGGAAAGAAATGACACTAGATGACCTTGCAAATCGTCCTGGTTTCGTCATAAAACCCCGGTAAAAAGCAAGCTTAGCATAGTTTTAGCATCTATTTGGGAACAAGATTGAAACTAATGATAATTGCATGACTTGTAAGAGAATCGCAAGAGATCATTGCATGACGTACTCAGAGAAATCACAGTGGGACGACCATAAGGACTATAAACATTAAATTAATAATTACGAAGTCCGAGGTTGTAAAGTCCAAGTCTCGATTCTTTCACCGCGTCTAACAGTAAAAATGACGGTAGACGAATTCACACAATTAAATTTACTGTAGAAATCTTTTAAAATGACAAAAATCAAGAGTGTGAGGTCCAAGTGAGCATATTTCCAAATTGTAGACAGAAGATTACACTTTTTACGATTCCATCCTTCGGACACGTCCAGTACTCTCTCTCCTTCTGCTCCAGTGCCGAAGGATCCCGCCGACAGCTTCGTTTTCGATCTTCCAGTCAGCTTCTTACTCCGTCGTCTGATTCACCTGGTGACCTTCCTTGGGTTTCTTGATCAACCTCCTCTTGGGCTTCTCGATTCTCCATAAAAATTTTGCTGCTCCCGATCTCCAGGATCACGGTCTCGAACTCTAGACTGGATGACTCGCACGAGATCGGCATTGCAGCGATACTTACACTGGATCGAGCAGTAGAGCGATTGTGAGGAGCACCCTCTTGCAATGTTGTCGTTGATCTTGAACGTCTCCAGGCCGGTGGTGTTGATCAGGGGCGTGATTCCGCAAACCTTGAACACCGGGAACCTGGATGCGCTCATGAGATGCAGGACGTTTGGTTCTTTGCACTCCTTGCAAAGGCTTCTCGCTTTCTCGCAGGCTTTCGATAACCCAGGGTGGCGCGATCGGGCAACACCTGAAGAAGTTCGTCAAACAAGCAGCCATGAAGAAGACGAGGAATTCCTCAGGTTTCATCGGGATCTTTTAGGGCATTACTTTTTTTGGAAATATCCTTTTTCCTGGGGGAGTATGTTTACGTGTAGAACGAGTGATTGATACTAGGGGCTATTACGACCAAGAGAGAGTATCTAGTTCTTTGGACGGGATTTCCAGTAGACATGGGAGATAGAAGAATCTCGAGAACGTCCCGTAAAGGTCTATACGAAGCCAAGCTGAGACAGCACTTGAACTGCGAGGCCTTGGATGAAAAGGGGGCCGTCATGAAAAAGAGAAAGTTGGTCACCTTGCCAAAGCTTAATGGCTCTTGTGTATCGTGATAGAAATATGTATGAAATACCGCAATTTGCTGCCCTCTCCATGTTGATCCGAATCCAAACCTGTGCCAGTGCAATGTTGTTAATCGACTATAAACTTGTTTATCAAATATATCTAAGCAATATTTTAAACTTGGTAAGCTATATGATTCAAATTCACTAATGCATAGTCTACGACCACAAGATCCTGTGTCTCAGCATCACCTCCACGAGAGCTGAGATCCTTTGGTTTCTCCACCCTTGGCACAAACTTATGCAAGTGAAAGCTATAAATTTATTTTTCCAATGTTTTTGAAAGTTTTAAAATAAAAATTTTCAAGTCTGAATAATTCTAGCTAGAACTATTTTTAGCATCACCCACATTTTGTTTAAAGGTCATACCTTTATTTATAACCAGTTATAATTACTGGTTATAATTATAACCAAGCATTGAGTACAAACTTATTGGAAACATTGTACCAAGGCCAAATCTTCTATGCAAAAAAACATTATACACAAATTTGCCCTTCCTCTCCCTTTTGTCCAGCAAAAATTTAGCGATGTGATGACAATTAGTGAGAACATCAGTAAGATAGCTACCAGTTCTTACTTAGTTCTAGCTTACAACCAAGAAGAGAAATAAGAAAAAAAAAGAGACACCGACCAAGGTTATACTCTCTACTGCGACTTCTTCTCGGGCCCCCGAGCAGTGGCGGGCGATTGCTCCTTCTCTTTGTAGTACTCGTCCCTGTCCTGGAAGTAGCGCTCGAAAGCTCTGGGCAAAAACAGGGGGATCAAAAATCCCAGCAGATTGACGGAGTAGAACACGTAGTTGGCGATGGCTAAACTCCGTCCAAACCACACCCACGCAGCTTTCTTGGGGGGGTAAACAAAAACCAAGGAATGTCAAAAGAAAAATGAGAGAGAGAACTCCCATACCTGGAAATCATGTTGAGGTGGTATACTCGCCTTCAAGGTGACGTGAACCCACGAAGACAAGGCGATGAGCCGGCGACCAGTGTACATGATGGGCAGGAGAGCTCGCACCGGGAGGCTGAAGAGCGCAAGCCCACTGATCAAGTTCTCGCTGAGAATCTGGACCGAGAGCAGGAAGAGGTGTGGAGTGGCGGCTCGCACGGATGCCTGGTCACCCCTTGCAAATCCCCCTAGAACATAGCCCAGCGGCAAGAACAAGCCAATCACAGTCCCGAAGATCACGTAGAGCTGGAAGAGGCGGCTCCCCTTGAACACGGGCGCGGTGCTCCTGCGTCTGTGGTAGTTTGGGAACACCACCGCTCCCAGGAAGAGCGCGTACAAGGATGCAAAAACCGGGAATGCAAGATCCAAAAGAGGGACTAACCCGCTGGCCGAGAAGACAACGATGAACGCCACGAGCTGCAGCTGGATGACGCGGAGCGATCCCGTGACCCCGCCCAGCGAGCCCGACTCCTGGGCGAGCTCCTGGAGACCGCCGTGAGCTCTGCCCCCTGGCGCCACTCTCGACCCCGCCGCTAGCGTGGAGCCCGACATGATCCTCGCTTTACTGCTTGCTCGATGGAATGGATGGATGGAGGGAGGGATCGAAGGCGAAGACCTGTCGAGAGAGCTCAAACAGAGAGAAAAAACACTTGTCAAGCCTCAAGCTAACCTAATTTGGATGTAGATGAAAGTTCCTGCCTGAAATTGCAAGACTGAGAATTAACATGACTAATAAAGAGTAGATTCTTTATCCGCATCCTGAAGGAAGCGATCGGGCATTGCTTTTTACTCTGGGATGGAATCCAGCCTCCTGCATGGACCTCATAGTTGCTTCTGCAAGTTCCTCTTCCATATCACCTCCAACTTCACATCTTTCTTTGCGAAAAAAACCTGAAAATCACCCTCTGTTTTAAGCAACCTTTTAGACAAGATATATATAGCAAAACCCTAATATAAACACCTTTAAGAAAGTCCTAATTTCCATAGTTCCATTATTTATTGTTCGCCAACTTTCATAGTCTCGTAGATGTTGGAGATGAGCACGAAACCAGCGCCCTCCACTGGTCCGCCTTCCAATTCCTGCAAGCTCTCAAACGCCACCTTGGCCACCTCCACATTCTTCCACTTCCAGCAGGCGCCCAAGATGGTGGTCCAAGTGATCTCGTTGGCTTGGCACGGCATCGCCTTGGCCATCGCCAGAGCAGTCTCCAATCGGTTGTAGCGCGAGAGCATGTCGATCACGCAGTGGTAGTGCTCGATCCCGGGGCTGCTTCTGGACAACATCTCCCGGAAGAACTCCTCGCCCCTGTCCACCAGACCGGCATGGCTGCAAGCCGAGAGAACGCTCGTCCAGGTGATGGCGTCCACCCGGAGTCCCTCGTCTAGCATCCGCTGGAACCAGTGGAACACCTTCTCGGTGTCGCCATGCCGGCTGTAGCCGGCTATCAGCGCGTTCCAAGTCACTGGATTCCTCGTCGAGGCGCTAGAATGGTCGAAAACCCGCTGCGCTCGATCCATGCTCCCAGACTTTCCATAGGCGTCGAGCAGGCAAGTCTCCAGGGTGCTGTTCTCCATCCCTGACCGGTAGATCCTGCCGTGGATTCCCACCGCGGCCTGGATCGCGGCGATGGCTCCGGAGGCCTTGAGCGTCGCCAGGAAAGTGAGAGCGTTTGGAGCGCCGCCCTGTGCGTCCATGGAGTCGAGCAGCTCCAGAGCTATGGCGGGCTCTCCGTTGTCTGCGTATCCCGCCATGAGCGACGTCCATGAGACCACGTCGTGGACCTCCATGCCAAGGAAGACTCTGCTCGCGTCCGCCATGCTGCCACACTTAGCGTACATGTCCACCAGAGTGCCGTAGACGAACATGTCCATGCCGCCACTGCTGCCGGCTGCTTGCGCGTGAATCGCCATTCCTTTTTCCAGGCTCTCCGCTTTGACGAGCTTCCCATTCACTAGAGTTCCCTGCTCTTTTGCTGCGAGGTTTGTGCAGGCCTTCAGTGCCGCGGCGTAAGTCCGGACGTCGGGGACGACACCTTGAAGCTTCATGGCGTCGAAGAGCTCCAAAACCACCTGCTCCTGGCCGCTCTCTGCGTACCCGAGCAGCAGTGAGTTCCAAGAGGCGGAGTTGTGGACCGGCATCTTTTCGAAGACTTCCCGAGCGTTTGTCATGCTCCCACACTTTGTGTACAAGTCAAGCAGTGTGCTTGTGACGAGCAGGTCCACTCCATATCCCTGTTTCGATGCCTGAGAGTAAATCTCCATTCCGGTCTTCAGAGCCTGCTGTTTCACAAGCTTCCCATCGACCTGTGTCCCCACTTCTTTCACAGCAACGCCTGTGCAGCCCCTGAGCGCCGCAACGAACGTCAAAGCATCGAGCAGGAAGCCTTGCTCAAGTTTCAGGCGTTCATAAAACTCGAGAGCCAGCTCACCTTCGTTGTTCTCGGCATAGCCCAGTATCAGCACGGCCCACGAAACCAGCGTGCGCGGAGATATCCCCTCAAACACCTTGAGAGCATCTGTTACGCTTCCACACTTCATGTACATGTCCAGCAAGGTGTTGGCGACCAGGATGTCCGATGCACGGCCGAGCTCTACTGCCTGTGAGTGAAGTTCCTGTCCCTTCTGCAAGGCCGCTGTTTTAATGAGCTTCCCATCGACTTTTCTCCCGTCTTCCTTGACTGCCAGACTGCCACAAGCCTTGAAAGCAGCCACGAACGATAGAGAATCCGGCGGACAGTCCATCTGTGAGAATGAACTTAAAGCTTGCTCGGGTTGTCCGTTGTCGCTAAAGCCGAGCATCAGTGCGTTCCAGGAGACTACGGTACGTCGAGGCATCTTGGCAAATACTTTCCACGCATCGATCATGCTCCCGCAGCTCGCATACATGTCTATCAGAGTGTTTGCGAGGAAGATGTCCGAGTCACAACCGATCTTTGAAGCTCTTGAGTGGAGAGCTATGCCTTTCTTCAAACTTCCAACTTTCAAGCTCTGTCCGTCAACTTCCTTGCTGTCTTCCCGTGCGGCCAGGAGATTGCAGGCCTTAAAAGCAGCAATGAAGGTTCTGGAGTTTGGCAGGCAGTCTTCAGCAGCCATCCGAGAGAATGAGTCAAGAGCCAGTTCAGCTTCCCCGTTTTCAGCATAGCCCAGCGTCAACACTGTCCAGGAGACTACGCTCAGTGAAGGTATCCACTCAAGGACGGCTCGAGCTTCCACCAGACGTCCACACTTGAAGTACATATCCATCAGAGTGTTGACTACCAGGATGTCTGAATCGAATCCATAGGCTGCTAGTTGAGAGTGGACACGGACACCGTTCCCAAAACACGCGGCCTTGCCATCAACTTTCTTTCCTTCTTCTTCCTTGAGCACTAGACCGACGCAGGCCTTCAAAGCAGCAACAAAAGTTAAAGCATTTGGTCGACAACCTTTGGCTTTCATACCTTCGAAGATAAGCAAAGCCAAGTCCGGTTCCCCGTTATCAGCATACCCCAGGATCAATGCAGTCCAGGACACTACGTCGTGACCTCGCATCGAGTCGAAAACTCTGCGTGACTCCAGCATGCTCCCACACTTTCCATACATATCCACGAGTGTGTTGGAGACGTAAGTATCCTCAACAAAACCTCTGGTTGCCGCTTGCGAGTTAAGAACCATCCCTTTCTCTAGTGACTGCATCTTCACATTTAGTGGGGTGCCATCTTCTCCATCAGCAACACTTGAGCAAGCCTTGAGAGCAGCGACAAAGGTTCTAGCACCCGGAGAGAACCCTTCCTTTTCCATTCTTTCAAACAGCTCCAGAGCCACCTGAGCCTCCCCATTCTCTTCGTGTGCCAGAATAATGTTGTTCCATGCCACCACGTCTCGGCACTTCATCTTGTTGAAAACATTGCAGGCGTCCACCAGGCTACCACATTTTGAGTAAACAGTCACCAGCGTGCTTGCAACAAAGAGGTCCGACTCGTGTCCATTCTCGATGATATCAGCGTGAATTTTCTTCGCCCTTGAAAGATCTCGCGAGCTCATGCACAGCTTCAGTGCGTATAGGACTGAGGATATGCTCCTTTTGACCATATCTGCTGCAAAATGAGACAGTGAGACGAAAGTTTTCATAATAAGAACAGCTTACTTGATTTTCTTTTTTATTGTGGCTACTGTTGCTGGGTCATCTTACTCCTCTATGTATCCTATTAAATCACACAGTAATCAAAACAACCAGGGAGTATATGGCAGGAAATAACAGACAGGGAAAACGTTGAAAAACGAGATGCAGCAAGAAACAGAACGTTACTATTGCTTGAAGATTAACCTGAGCATCATTTTATTTCGTGCTCTCCTCTATCCACTTGAGATACGCCGGATTTCCACCCTGGATCGGAAGAGCAATTACCTCAGGGGTCCTGCAATTACGCAGACAAGTAAGCAAAGAACTCAAAACAAAACTCTTACTTGTAAGAGTGGCTCTGAATCACATGTGCAGTAAGCTCGTCCAGCAAACTTTTCTTCGTCTTTATTATCAGCAACACCTCCGAATCCGTTTCGACCTTTTTAAAACCAAGATGAAACAAGAGAAAAAGTTGAAATTGCGTCCAAAGAATTTGTACCTTGCCTTCCCACCAATATGTAGATTCGATACCTGTTTAAATAAGAAAATACATGAATGAAAGAATTCTTTGTAGCATCTCAAATTTTTTCTTACCGGGGATTTGGTTGACACAAGCAGCGAGCTTCTTGGTGATGATACTTGACGCCAATTTGAATCCTGGAACAATCGTCTAGCATAAATACAAAGAAACCAGACAAAAAAGCTCTTGAGACCTTCTTCCTTGTTGGGAACTGTCACATAAACAACGATGGAAGGGGCTGGAGCGGCCTGGGATTCATGAGCCATGGCCCTGGATTGATGGTACTTCACGCCGGAGGAAGAAGAGGCCTGCGAGACTCGGCCGATCAGCGGGCTGCCAAAATTCCAAAAGCTCAGTAGCAGCAGCACACCGCTAGCACCCAGAATCACAACGTCTATGCGCATTGGAAAATGCAGGGATGGAATCGCCTAGGGAAGCAACATGGAGAATAGAATGCGATTTTTATGCCGGCTTACCTCAAGAATCGCGGAAGCGCGGAGGGATTGCCGAGGAGAGCGCCGCTAGCCGCACGAAAATCCTGCACAGGAGGCGTGGGAATCGGAGAAGAGAGGGCGCGGCGCTGCGCTTACCGCCAAGAACACGGGCGAGTGAAGAAGCATCGATGGAAATATTTTGGTTTTAGGGTTTATGTGTACTTGCTAGGTTGTGGAGAGGGCGCCATGGACGCACAGAAGCAAATCAGAGAGAACACGCAGGTAAGAGCTCTTAGCTGGATCGATCGCTCAAAAAAGATCTCGATTTCCACAGGAGCTTCACGATTTTCTCAGAGGATTGCAAGACTGGGAAAAAGAAGTGAAGAACAAAGACAATGAGCTCAAGACGAAGTCTCAGGATCAAGTGAAAGAGGTATTGAGGAGCGACAATGCTTCCATTGGTTCTGAGAATCGAGCTTACTTCTTTGCAGTTGCGTCCCGTGAGAGAGAAGAAAAGAGCTCAAGCTCAAGCAGCTCCTTCTGTGAATGCTGCAAAGCATACTTACGATTACTTCCGGGACAAGTGGGACAAATTTGATGTGGTGAGTGGTGATAGAATTTCTTCTTCTTTTTTGGTTCCTTCTTCTTTGTTCTGACCAAAGCTTTAGTAGGATGCTGCATTGCGAGAGGTTGACGAGGAAAACGAGCAAGAGAAAGTGGCATCCAAGTCTAAAGAAAATGACTATGCGGCCGAAGGTACTCCACAGACTTTCTCCAACGAGGCTGTCCAGCCTGATTTCGAGAAAGGCTCGCTCCCCGATGCTGTAACGGAGAAAGAACTTGTGAGTTGAAATGAAGGAAAATATGTTCTTTCTTTTTTTTTGCGTGGCTAACACTCGCTTTCCAGGGAAACGAACTTTTCAAGGAGAAGAAGTACGTGCAGGCGATTGAGTGCTACTCGCGGAGCATTGGCTTGCATCCAACAGCCGTGGCTTATGCCAATCGGGCCATGGCACTCTTGAAAATCAGAAGGTATACTGATTTTTGCTATTCATGTGCTTATGTGCTCTAAGTTTAGATACGAGGATGCTGAAATGGATTGTTCAGAGGCTATCGCACTGGATGATCGCTACACGAAGGCATATGCAAGACGAGGTACAGCCAGAAGAGAACGGGACAAACTTTTGGGAGCTGTGGAAGGTAGCCATTTTCTTATATTTCTATGAACACTGACGCCAAGCACATCTCTTTTCGTAGACTTTGAATTTGCTCTCCGGCTGGAACCGCACAACAAGGACCTTCAAAAGCAGTACGAAGAAGCAAAAGCTTTGTATGAAAAGGTGTGTTGAGAGTTCAGTGTTCAGTTGAGGTTTCTCACACGGTTTCTCTTGTAGAAGAATGCTTATCGCCCACCCGAAGATAAAGTAACACTTCAAGTCCAGAGACCGTCCATCAAAGCCATTAATGGAGCCGAGAGCATGAAGAAGACCTCCTCCCAAACTTCAAACGGCAAGCAACCGGTTCGAAAGAGTTTAATATCTCTTGCCAAAAAAAAACTAAACTCGTTGCTTGTGATTTCCAGGTAAAAGATGAAGCGGCGATGCAAGCGTCGACGATCCGGGCTGCAGCAACTGCTATGAACGCTGTCACGCAACACATGGTGGCTCCCAAGACATCTTACGAGTTTGAGACGCTATGGAGAGGCTTTGGTGACGACGTTGGAACCAAAGCACGCCTGTTGAAGGTAATACAGAGAGCCTCAAAAGTTTTCCTTTTGTTCTAAGGCAGGGGTATTGCAAGTGCAGCTCATGGATCCTAATTCGCTGCCCAAAGTTTTCCGAGACGCTCTGAGCGCTACGTTGATGGTGGACATTATAAGAACTCTAGAAACACTGGTCAAGTAAGATTTGGCTATGTTTTTTGGATCGTTTAGTCAGCTCGTAAGTTTGTTTTGCAGCGAGGATACCGTTTTGGTTGCTCAAGTTCTTGACAATCTCACCAAAGTTGGCCGCTTCAGCATGACAATTATGTGCTTGAGCCACAACGACAAAAGTGGTGAGCAATCTTTAGTTCCAGAGAATGTTTTTTTCTCTTTGGCATTGATAGTGAAATCTTTGCAGTGATCCAAAACCTCTGGGAAAAGCTTCCTGCTCCTATGGAAGATCTAGAAAAATGGGAAGCTCTACGAAAGAAATATAGAGTTTGAGGAGGCACAATCAATGCAAAGGTGTGGAAAAATTGATAGTCTTTATTCTTCGATGAATCACAGCTTGAGACTTTTCATCCAGACGGTCAAGCTTGGCTCGTCCGTCTTGACGAATTTCACCTTCAACCTCGCGCGTTGCTCCTGTGTCAACTCCCGCAATTGTGGAAATCTAGACTCCTGGAATGCAAGAGCTCGATAGTATCAAAACGTAGGACAAAACAACGGACCTGTTCGTATGGCGGATCGTCGTGAGCGGGAATTAATCTCGCCTGCAAGTATCTTGCCTGTGAGCTTCCCTCCTGAGTGTTCAAAACAAAACTTCATAAGTGAAACAAAAAGTTTAGACCACCTTGAAAGTAAGCATCCTCGGCACAGGAAATCGAGTCTCCGTGATCTCCCGGACGAATTCCTTGCAAGCCGAGAAGGCCACCACATTTCGCTTCTCATCTTGACAAAGCTCATGTCCCTGGATAAAAGAAAGAACGTTTTCACTTGCGAAAGATCGAGCGTTACTTACCAGCCAGATATGAACGTCGGTACCGTGATCTAAGATCAGTGCCGTCTGGGACTGCATCGCCAAGTTATAAGCCGGGACAGCCTCGAACGAGCCATTGTCGTGGAACAGATACACTCGCGGCAGCACCATCCTCAGTGCAAGCTCATACGAAGCTTGGAGGAAGATGTTCCTGATCACCAGTCGCTCGTCTTCGTGGCCGACAATGCTTCCAAGCAGTGGACCACGACGCAAGTGGAACAGCGCCTCGGCCAGCTTTGTAATCTCCCTGGGGAATGGCGGTGCCCCGGCCCTTGGTCCAAACCTGGAGCGTATATCTTTCAGTCTCTGGTCGACTGAGAAGCGCAGCTCTGCCGCGTCCGCCATGCTCTTGGCTTCCAAGGCTGTCCTCTTGGCGATCAGGACCGCTGCGGCCTCCGGATTAATTCCTGTGAGGTACTTGGAAACGCTAGTCGTGACCGGCAGCCGCACTGTGATGACTCTCGTTATCCGAGCTTGGAAGGTGCCCGTGTAGCGGACCACGAACTGGAAGTACGCATAATCGTCGTGGAAGTTGCTTGTCAGCTGCATTGACAGGGCAAATCCTTGGTGTTCTTCCACGCTCATCATGCGCAGTGCCACCGCGGGCTCTCTTCCAAAAGACTCGGCCGCGTCGGAGCTGGCGTCCTGTCCCGGCCCGATAACACTGCTAACTCCAATCCCTTCGCTGCATCGAACTTCCAGAGTCGCGCGAAGTCCCCCGGCTCTTGTAAACGATCTCTGGAGATTGAGGCCGAAAGCCTCCCCAAAGTCGTCGTGGAGCACCATCACACCCCCGGAAGCTTTCACCAGCGGCTCCAAAGTCACCGCTCTCACGGGACACGTCCCAGCGCACAGGACGTCCACGGCTGTGTCTGAAAGTCTGGCCTTGCGTCCCAAACGCTCCATATACTTGATAGAGTTCGCCTCGATATAAGCATAGTTTGGATGGTTCTCAAACTGTGGAAGAGATCCCGGACCGAGAGTATTCGGGCCTGCCGCGCAGACCAAGACATGGCTGTTACCACTCGATCGCTTTGCCATTATCTGCGTCGATGGACCCTGTATAAGCGCGAGAGCAACGTCCACGGCTGTTCCCAGGCACCGCGGTCTCGCTGCTTCTCTCAAGTTCCCGGAGTAAGGCCTCAGAGATGAGACGATCGTATGAGCGACTCCCAGACAAGTATGAATAGGCGTGAGATAAATCCCTGTCCCGTATATCAGCATCTTGAGCAGCTCCTGGCTAGGAGCTACATCCCCCGGTATAACATCCGCCGCTGCGAGCGCAGTCTCGGAGAGATCATAGATGGAGACCGTCTTCCCGTAAGTGATGATGCCTATCCGAGTTGATGGTCCCAAGGAATCCAGGAACGAGTGTAGAGAGCTCTGTAAGTGTTGGAGTAGAGGTTCTTCCAGGCTCTCGTCTATAACCAGTACCACTGGAGCGGCTGCCACTGTCGAGTCCGCCACTGGAACAAATCCCGGCCTCCATGATCCAGCATCCATGAAGTCCACGACGGGGGACACGAGCTCTGGCCAGTTATGCAAATCGTTGGCGCCGGCGGGCCTGTACTCCCCATTGCTGCTGTTGATCTTCTGGCAAAGCATGCATTGCCACTGCCCCGAGACTGGAGTGAGCCGAGAGTATAGATTCGGGTACGCACCACACTTCTCGCAGCGTGAAGGATCTCTCTGGATGGCTGGAGGTGACGGGTCGATCTCTCTTCCTGGCGATAGCAGAGCTCCAAACGCCAAGCTTGTTGCATTCAGGAGCTTCTTCTCGCTCAAGATCTACGTGAAAGAAAAGTTCACAAAGTTTTTACAAGAGTGATGAAAAGCAGAACAAACTTTACGAACGTACCACTCGGGATGTAAACATGACAAAGGTCGTGGCATAGTCCTCTGGAGAGATCTTGGTGCGATCTTCTCCCTGCCCGTTCATCAATCCCGGAGGGCCGGAGGAAGGACTGATGGGAATCTCCGAGAATGGCTGGCTCATCCCGTGCCGTGGCGAACTCGCGGCGATGTCCGGCGGCGGCGGCGGGCGCTGTGGGAATTGCGCGGCGAAGGGTGGCGGCGGAGGCGGCGAGAAAGGGATCGCAGGCTTGAAGAGTGGAGCTCCCGGAGGCCCGGAATATGGCCCCGGAGGAGGAGGATTTCCTGGAGCTGGAGCTGCTGATGCGCCATTGAACGACTGCCACCGCTGATCGGCGCTGGACGACGATGTGGACACTGGCAGCTGCGGCGCCGAATTCTGCCGTGAAATATTTCGATCCGATGGAGCCGGCTCGATCTCGCTAGCCGCGGCGGCCATGGCCAGCGATCGCGAAAACCCTATGTCCGCGGGACCTCTCGCTCTGGAAATTTGGCGCTGCTATAGCTCCGATCCGATCGATACAGACCTGGAACTGCTGCGCGCATTCTCAGCTCGCTGGATCCATGAGCGATCGCTGAGAGATCGGAGCTCCATCCATCGGAGGACCGTGCCGCCCAGGCGCTTGGCCGGACTCGAACCTCGGAGCTATCCCACCTAGGAATATTTGCGATTTTAGGGTTCTTGTTCATTCTTTCGCCATGGAGAACTCGGAGCTGCCGCACGACGTCCTCGGCCACCACGACACGCTGCGCCACGGCCTCCCGGCTTTGAAGAGCGATGCGCTGCCGCTCCATCCCGTCCAATCGCTTCACCAGGAGGTAAGATCTCTCCCACCGCGCCGCTCGTGAAACCGATAGGTTTTGCTTCCAGAAGCTGAAATTTGGGGCCGACACCAAGCGGAAGATCGTCGAGAACCTCTATGGCTCAGCGTTTGCCCTGAGAATGGACTTCGATCGCCAGATCCTCTCTCGGTAATGCGCAAAATCTCTTCTTTCATCTCTGGTTTTCTCATGGGTTTGTGTTTGCGCAGCTGCCAACGACCTGGGAATCTAATCCCTTCCTCCATGATCGGTCTGGAGTCCCTCACTGGAACACTGGACGAGCTCAACTTTGAGAACATCATCTATGGTACTTTGTTTGCCCTTGGATCGATATCGATCGATCTCTCTCGATTGTCTAGATTGCTTACAGCTCTCTTCGCGATGTCTTTCCAGATCCTCGCGATTCCAGTCGATTCGTTGCTGTGGACATGCACGACGCAATGGAGCTCCGGCTCGGACTTAACTCTCGAAAAATGTAATCGAAGGAACCATTCAAAAAGTATACTTTTTCTATAGCGGTTTAGGGTTCTTGAGCCTGTGAATGGATTTTGTGTGAAAGCAGAAATTTCTATGGGTGATGCTACAGCCAATTCTTACTCACACAAAAACTCTTTTTCTACTCGTTCTCCAGATCTCCGGGTTTTCTCTCCCGGACTCCAACCTTCTCGGCGATCCTCTCGGCGTCTCTCTTGAGCGCCTGACCCGCGATCACCACCGTCTCCTTGAGCTGCTCGGTCGTCTCCCCGGCCTTTTTCGGCATCTCCTTCATCTCGTCCATCATCTCCCTCGCGTTCTTCTTCTCCACCTCCACCTGGTGCTTGATCCCCTCCACCATCCCGCCAGACTTGGATTTCACGTCCTCCTTGGCCTCGGTGAAGGACGAGACGCTGCCGCCGCCCTCGCTCATCATCTTGCCGTGCTCATGGTCGGTGTCGGGCTGATTGGTTTCCGGATTTGCCTGCCATGAGAAGAATCCAAAACCATGAGAAGAGGAGTGGAATTCGAGTGGAACTTGCTCTATCGCTTACCGAAAAAAATCGCCATTGGAAAGCTCTCGTTGCTGGTGCTCCTCGCTGGACACTCTTGCCAAGTGCTACGCGCAAAGCCATCGCCGCGACCTCCTTCTTCTTTGCTTGATCTTCCGCAAAAACAATCACTTCTTCGCGAAAAACTCCCCAGAAAAACTTCCCTATAGCCGCACTATCCTGGCACGTGGACGACCTGCTACGAGCCACTTGGCACACACGCGTCACGTTTTAGTTAGAACAATGTTTGTGAAATTATCGCTATGATCGCATTATTTTTCACAATGTAACAATGTTTGTGAAATTATCGCTATGATCGCATTATTTTTCACAATGTAACAATGTTTGTGATATTTTCACTATGATCGTGTTATTTTTTCACAACGGTTTTTTATTTTTTATCCAGCATCTACCAGAGTGTCAAAACTGTGTCTATAAATTTTGCTCTTTCGTTTGTTAAGCTCCTTCGGCTTTCTCTTCTTCGTCGTCGTCTTTCACTTCTTTCACCCCCTTCACCTACATACATCGAAGTAGAGAAGAATAATAAGCGAGGAACAAACTAAAAATCCAATTTTTACCTCTGGAACGTAATGCATGAGCATGTTTTCGATTCCAGACTTAAGCGTCACAGCCGAGCTTGGACAGCCACTGCAAGCACCTTGCATTTTAAGCTCGACGATCCCGGACTCCCTGATCGACGAGAAGAAAGGAGGGGTTTGAATTTTTCTCGAGAAAACTATAGAAACTTTACCTGTCGAATCCACGGTACTCAATGTCACCGCCATCGTCCTTGACTGCTGGACGTATTCGCGTCTCGAGGAGCTCTTTGATCATCACCACGGTTTCATCGTCTCCCTAGAAGCCAAGTAGCCAAAGTAAGAACAGGAACAAAAACTGAGAGGAGAAAGGTAATCCAAAAGAAGGAACTCGCAGAAAAACTAGGAATGGAGGAGGAGAGGAATCGAACTTGCAGGAACAAGGATTTACCTCTTCGATCGCCGTGTCTTTAGGCGCTGCTGCTTGCGCAGAGTAGAAGAGTGGCTGTCCAGAGGCGTAAAAATCCATGATCGCTGCAAAGACCTCCGGCTTGAGCACGTCCCACTCCGTATCATCCGACTTCGTCACCGTCACGAAGTCCGATCCGAAAAACACCCGAGTAACTCCTACAACAGGACCAGATCAATCCAATTAAAATCTAAAGCTGCCGAAGAGCTCCAACTCTTTGTCTTACCATCGATGCCAAATAACGACTTGGCGAGAGGAGATTTCATGGCCGTCCTGGCATTGGGGAAATCCGAGCTGCCAATCTCCATGACCGGCTTCCCGGGCGAGAAAATCAGCGATGCGGGATTGGGAGTAGTCTGGACCTGGATGAACAAGCTCCGTCGATGGCCTGCACGGATAGAAATCGATCGATTGATGCAAACCCTAGCAGAGCTCACAGTACCATATGAGAATCTGGGAGGAGCGCGCAGCGCCGCCGGTGCGCGATAATCGATTGCCACGCGCGTGAATGATCTTTGTATCGCTGCCGCGCCACTGGACACACTACGGTGGGATGAAATATCTGATCGCCAGAGAGAGGAGAGTCTTCTTCTACTCACCAAGCCTCTTGCTCTCGCGGCCATGCCCTAAAACGACAATGTAGGGGATGGCATATTCTCAAGCATTTTAGTGTATCTTTGGCTAACCCTTTTGTTACCTTTAATCATGTTATTTAAAACTTTTGTTAATGGGATTTACGTATTGGACACGTAAGCCTGGTTTAGGGTTCTTGGTGACGAACAATCTTGGAGAATTAGAACGAGGATCCAGTTGAGGGTTGAAGGCGAGTATCTTCAATGAAGATCCAGCGTTGTTGTACATTTACAAGTTGTGAGTATAATGTTAAATCTTACTTGGTGGTGAATAAACTTCAGAATCAGTCGAAGCAGCCACAACAACTCAGTGCAGGTTGAGCTTTTCAGCCAGCAATTTCAGGCCTGCGCTTCCTCTTTCGAAGGCGTAAGCATCGAATCGCATAGCGGCATCCACTATGTAACCGGCTGGTACGATTTCTCGAAACGACTTCGGATCGACGCTTCCTAGTGATACCTCCTGCAAGTTCCTGTACAGCTTGGTCGTGTAAGTTGCGCTGCTTCCCTTACCGTTCGTCCCGATTCTGCCCAATCAAATGCTCGCTTTGTTATATTTCCAAGAGAAAGTTTTGAAAGGCAAATCACCTGATTCGAATTGCTTCGTGCCCATCCTCTGTCACAAAAAAAGCAGGCTGCCATGTTGCATTGATGCCGAATAAGGACTTGTTCTTCACAGCAGCTTCACAGTGCTTGACAATGGCTAGTAGCTCCGCGCTGGGGATGATGACAATCGTAAATGTTGGCTTTCCAGTCTCACTGAATGCGTATATGTCACTGACGCTGAACATGACTCTTGAATTGTTCGCCTGAACACGAAGCCGATCGGAGCCATGGAAGAGAATCACCGACGGGCCTCCACCATAAACAGCACCGACTGACTCCAGTAACACTTCATGAGGCTGAAGGAACCTGTTATGATCTTCTCCTGTCTCAAATTTGAGCGTACGTTTCACATCCTGTTCTTCATTTTGCATCTTTGGATCTATTGCTTCACCTTCGCCACCTTCGAGTTGCGGCATTGCTTCCTCCAATGATAAAGGGACCAGCCTGAAATCATCACCACCCCCATAGCTGGACCTCCGACGCTTCTGTGGAGCCTGAGGCGAAGATTGAAATAACTGTGGGAAGTTGGATTCCTGCAGATAAATGGAGTAAGATCTACAAACAGCAGCTTGATCTTAGAATACCAGAAGCAGCACAGTCGCGCACCGCTTAAGCACCTTAATGTTCATCCGGACATCCGGAAGGCTCCTGAGCAACACAAGCAAAGCTCGACTCTACATGTAGCAAAATTGAAAACAGAAGGAACCTGTGTTCTTGCTTTCCAAGACTGAAATAAGCGGCCAGTGTGCTCAACTGCTCAACCAAACAGGCATCATCAACTTGAAAGATTGAGCAGCAAGCATGTACCTTAAGATTTCCAGCTCTTTGTCCAAATGTTCTCTGCAGAAGCGGGAGTGTATCGATGAAGCCAGCAGCTTCAGGCATCGGCCTGCCGATGCTAGCAAAGGCCTCCTCGATCCGAACATTGTCGAATTCGCAGATATTGTGCCCCGCCCAAATTCGCCCTGCTTGCTCAAATCCTTCACATGAGCAATCTCAAGAACAAAGATCGCGAGCTTACCGTGCAGTAGCTCATAGACTCGATCAGCAATCTCAGAGCGCCACTGCTGGTGCCGGCTGCATTTCTAGAGTTCATCACAGAAGGGCGAACCGGCGTGGTATAAGAATCCACCTCTACTAATCCCTTTGCCGATAATACCACAGCCCCAAACTCTAGAATCTCTCGGCTCTGTTCCTTGCCCTCTGGCATGCTCGTCTCCAGATCGTAGAACACAATCTCCATTCTTCCTGAGCTCAGCCGCCATAGCTGTTTGCTTGCTTCCTGATTTCTATGAAGAATCCCAGCTTTGCAAGCAAGAACCGGAATCTAGAACTTTGCGTTTGATTCGTCTCCAATCCGCACATTCGGAATACATCGACCGTTAATGTAAAGTCAGTATGCTAAACTGAATATTCTTAAAAAATGGAATATTTGCCCCCGATACCAAGTTAGCCCGTTTTAAAGAACCCTAAAAACAGGGGAGCTATGGCTGCTATTCCAGCATCCACTCGATTTCCCTCGCCACCATTCTCGATTTCTACCACAGTAGCAGCAACCCAGCATCGATTTGGCGCATTGGGCGACACCACTAAAGCCCGGGTAAGGCTCCGATGGTCGTCTCCTCCAAATTGTGTGTCCAATCCAACCGGGAAGCTCGATGATTTCTCGCTCCAAGACGACGACGAACGTTAGTACCTCTCCTGTCGCTCAAATCCTTCTCCCTGGCATTGGAGTAGTGACCTTTCGTCCATCTCTCCACAGCTCCGAATTTAAATCCGGCTCCTCCTCCAACACCCGGGCGATTCGAGATCACCATCGACAAGGAGACTGTTCGTCGCTTGGATTTGTCGCCGGCTCACGCCCTGCTGAGAAAGTACGTGCATCGAATCGGTAAGAGAGATGAAAGATTAAAGTTGGTGAGCTTAGATCTCGATTCGTGGAACAGGAGACAACGCCACGGATCCGGCCAGCGATCCAAACGAGCTGCTGCAAAAGACAGTAGGATTCGTCATCAACTACGAGAGGGATGATCCTGTCGATCCGAGAGAGTTGTCCGAATTACCTGATCTCAGGCTGTGGTTTCTTCGTCTGGATGCTGCGTATCCATGGCTGCCGGTGGTGCTCGACTGGAGGAGCGGGGAGCTTGCTCGCTACACGGCCATGCTTGTTCCACACCAGATGAGCCAGAGGCTTGGCATCGTCTACAATCCGGAGGCGCAGGAACTCTTTGCGATGAGCAAGCTCTTCACGGTTTATAGCTGGCTCAAGGCGCGGGGTGTCGCCAACCCGCAAGCCAAAACGAACGCGATGATGCAAGTGATTGGCTTTGGCATCAGTGACGAGCTCTTCAAGCTTGTGGAGGCCAATCCTCATCCTTGAAACTGCTGAAAGTTTCGAGACCATGAGAAACTCTAGTGCGTAAAAGCTGGAGGCAACTCACCGAATTCGAGGCAGTAGTTTCAGTTTCAAGCATTACAATGTTCTTGGTCAGCTGGTTGTGCTTCATTTCTGCGATCTCCACCTGAGAGACACGAGAAAATATGAATACAGAAACACCTCGAAATGGTTTTTGCTACAAACCTTTGCTAACCAGTTGTACAGCTCCCTACGGATAGACTTGGAGCGCTGTTTTATCTTCATGTACTCGATCGCGGTAGGCCTCAAATCCTCACCCTTGACAAACGCGAGAAGCTCCAGATGCAACCTATCCTGGCAAGACGAAGTACATCCAAGAGTTAGCGGCACTAGAAAGAATTTGACACTCCAAACCTTTTCCTTGTATTCGCTTGTTATAAGGTCTTGAAGCTTTCCAACCAGCGGTGAACGATCTGTCAGACTTTGCCGCATAGACACTTTCGCTACGGCTTTACTGTCCATTTCTTCGCGTAATGCTTTAGCAGCCTACAAACAACACCATGGTTTGTTTTCATCCTTCAAGTGATCATAATTAGAAAGCATACCTGGGCTATCTTCCTACTCACATGCCGCGATTTGTCAAGCAAACGAGCACGCGCATCAAGCTGGTTTGCGAGGTCTTCATTCAAATTCCTCATCTCCTTAAAGTCCGAATCGTGGAGTAACTCCCGGACATCAAGCTTAGACTCGAGCTGTACCGTTGCTGTAGCAACCATCTTCTCAAGTCGCTTGATTCTTTGCTGGAGCTTCTCCTTGAGCAACCTTTTATCGAGTATTCGTCCATTGAGATACCTGTAGATGAGTTTCATGAGTACCATTCACAAATAAAGACTTCCAGAAAAGAAAGAGATACCTGAGCATGTCTTCCGAGTAAGGCTTCTTCGAAGGATTGAGAAGCTCCGCAAACTGGATCACATTCCTTTGCATCTCCACGCGATCCTTCCTGGCCATGCCACATTTGTGCTCCGCAACGTCGAAGTAGTTCTTCAAGCCATCTAAAATACCATCCTTGTCGTTCTTGAGCCTGTCGAGCCGCTTCTCCAGAGCCAGGCAAAGCTCCTCGATGATCTCGCACTTCTCCTCCCAGGTCATGGGAGGCAGCATATCATCGCTGGGCTGGAGCCCATCAGCGTCCTCGATGAAACCGGCAAACATCTTGCTGCCCTCTTTGAAACGCCGGAGGGAGCTGCGGTTGGAATCCGTCGTCGACTTGGAGATCTCCTCGCCAAAGAGGGACGAGCTCCTCCGGCTGGCTTCGTCCTCCTCCGAAAGCTTTGGAGCATCCACAGTCTCGTGCCAAGTCACAGACGAGCTCCCTGTCCTTGACGAGCTCGTCTGCTTGGTCTCGGAGCTGCTGTGATGCTCCGAGCTAGAGCCTCCCGGTCGATGCGATCCAGAGCCATAAGATCCAGCATCTACTGCCTGGTGAGATCCAGACGGAGAGGAGGATCCCTCCGCTGGCTGATAATATCGACCAGACGAGCCAGATCCAGAGCCAGAATGGTCGACTCCTTGGTAGTATCCACCAGACCCCGAGCCAGCTCCACCAGACCCTGACCCAGAGCCAGCTCCACCAGACCCTGATCCAGAGCCAGAGAGCTGCGCGTCTTGGTAATACCCCAATCCAGAGCCTGATCCAGAGTTCTCGGCTGGCCCGTAAGATCCAGAGCGCGATCCAGAGCCGGAATTCGATGCTCCCGCTGGCTGGGAGCCCGATGAACCCGATGCCGCCGGCTGATAGTGGTAAGAATCCCCCGATCCAGACGCTGAGCTACCGCCGCCGCGATCCGACGATCGCGCAGTGGGATCGCTGGAGCTGCGCTGCGATCCGGAGGAGCCGTCCTGCGAATTTCCCCCTGGCAGCTCCATGGAGCCGATTCCTGAGCTGCCGCGAGCCCGGCCAGGAAATCCTGGAATCTAGGCTCAATGGCAGCGTTGCCGGAGAGATCCAAAGAATGCCGCAGCAGCACATCGCCTGCCATCGTGTCACCAGCTTCCACTCGCCACTCCCTCTCATTACCTGGCGCCGAACGACGCCTTCCTCCATAGCACATTTTGCCGCCTTTTAGGGTTTCCAGGCATCGCGGTTCGAATCTTATAGCGCTTTGGCCGACAAGGTCATCGTTTCGACTCCGTTCCTCTACAACAACTTATATTTACAAGTCCATTCTCATCAGAAGTTTGGAAAGTGCTGGATATCGCCTCGACCACCTCCTCTGGTAAAACCACGCAAGAAAAATCAATCCAAGCGAGAAATTTGGTAGCAATTCTCTACTCACCTTCCAAAACGCTGTGGCTCGAATCCAGGAACTCCCGGAGGACCAAAAGGATCGAATCGAGCACCCTGTGGACGCCTGGAAAACGATGAACAAAGAGAAGATTGATAAGAACACTGGAAAGATCAACCAGGGAAACTCACGTTAATCCAGAAGGATCGTCATGACCGGGAGGAACGTTTCCCCAGACGGGATGCCCAGGTCCTACACATTTTCCATTGTCGATGTCAGCTTGCCGATTTCTAGCAATACAAGTACTCACCTACAAGACTTCCGGCCTCGCCACTCTCGAGAGTGCTGTCTTTCCAGGTAAGTTTGCAATTCTTCGTGTAAGGAACAAGAAAAAGGAAACCTGTGATGATCGAAAACACCAACTCCTGGTCCTGGTAAGAGATCATTGAGGCCTACAGGTCTCCCAATTAGGCTCACTCCAGGAGTAGCAGGATATGGCCTCCTGCAACGCAAAGAACTTAGTTTTCGAGACACTGAGAAAGAGCACGATAGAAGCAGCAAAAGAAAGAAGAAAAAAAAGACGAACTTGCCTAGGAACAGACATAGTCTCGTCATCGATCATCAATTTTCCTGTTTCCCTGGAGTTGCGAAAGAGGAAAATAGAAAAACGATCGTAAAGAACTTGAAACATACCTGGTTGAGGTCGCTGGTTCCGGTGGTTTCGTCGAGCACTTCGAGAGAACTTGAGAATTCACAACCTTCACGATTCCATCCAGGTCCTTGTATTGCTGGGCGTAATTCCCAGTATCAGAATCTTTCGCAAAATCAGTGACCCTTGGATAGATAGTATAAGAACAAACACAAAGATGATTCTTCGAGATCGCCACTTACTTGATCTCCAGATGGAACAAATCATTTCCTCCTTCCACAGCCGCATCCACCATCAGCATGTCACCGATGGCAGTGCATTTGACGTCCACGCTCTTGGGCAAATCCTTCTCATCAGTGAAATACTTGAACGCGTACGCATTTTCCAGCTCATTCCAGCCATCGATCCCGACCTCTTGCTCTTCACGAAGACACCAAAAACATCAGACAGCTCCCAAGCCATACAAATCCCTACCCGAAGAAGCCCCCGACGCCGCCGCCGATCCAGTCGCTCCCAGCGAATACCCGCTCGCCAGGAAAGCGGCGTGTAGCGCAAACGCTACACGATCGTGGGGCGACCGGAATTGCGGCCGCGAGGCGCGAATCACAGCTAGAACAGCGTCCGTAAGCGCCATCACTTCCCAAGAACCCTAATCCCACACCGTGCCGCCACGGGGACTAAATCGAGCATCCCAGCTTAGCCACGTGGCATGCAAACAAGCCATCCACGTGTTTTAGCCCTAGAAAATGTCCTAGGGCTAGGAAGTACCAACGACCGGCGGCTTCTTTCCTCCATTGCGATGGAATCGGCAATAGGTATGACGATGGCGAACCGACATAGATGAGGAATTGGAGCAGCAATCCATGGGGAATTGCGTGCGATGCGTGAACTCTCTGAGTTGCGTGAATCGAGGGGCGAAATTGGTTCCCAGCGAAGCTGAGCGCAACCGCCGCAATGCGCCGCCGCCGCCGCCGCCTCGCAATCGCCAGCAGCCGCAAAGAAGTGCCCAAGAGCAACAGCAAAACACCAAGGCACTCCCGGCATCGCCGCCAAGGGCGGCATCTCCAGCAGCTCCATCGCCATCTCCATCGCCATCTCCGGCAAAACCATCCACCGCTGCCACCGCCAAGAACATCGTGATCCCATCCTCGCAGCCCAAGACGGATGGATCCAACGTCCTAGGCCTGCCGCTCAAGGACGTCCGATCGGCCTACGCGCTGGGCAAGGAGCTCGGGCGCGGCCAATTCGGCATCACGTACGCCTGCACGGACAAGATCACGGGCGAGAAGCTGGCCTGCAAGACGATCTCCAAGCGCAGCCTGCGCAATCGCACCGACATGGAGGACGTCCAGCGCGAGATGCAGATCATGCAGCGCCTGGCCGGGCAACACGCCAACATCGTGGAGCTCAAGGCCGTGTACGAGGACAAGCAGAGCGTCCATCTGGTGATGGAGCTGTGCGCCGGGGGCGAGCTCTTCGATCGCATCGTGTCGCGGGGGCACTACACGGAGAAGGCGGCGGCGGCGGTGTTTAGGACGATCGTCAGGATCGTCCAGCATTGTCACGCCACCGGAGTGATCCACCGCGATTTGAAGCCCGAGAATTTCTTGCTGGCCAGCCCCGCCGAGGACGCGCCGCTCAAGGCCACGGACTTTGGATTGTCAGTGTTCTACAAGACGGGTAATGATAGACAGATCTCTCTCTCTCTCTCTCTCGCTTAGTCTTCTCCAACTTTTATATAACATCTTTATCATAGTTTGCCACCTTTTTGTGTGATTTTCAACCTTATATAACATTTTTCTCAGAAAAAAGCCTTTTTTTCAGGACAAATATTTACCGAAACAGTGGGCAGTGCTTACTACGTAGCCCCAGAGGTTTTGAAGAAACGATACGGTCCAGAGGCGGACATATGGAGTGCCGGGGTCATACTTTACATTCTTCTTTGCGGCTTGCCACCTTTCTGGGCAGGTATCTCTCTCAAAAACTCGATTTTGTGACGCTCTTGGAGAAAGAAATGCTGCGCAGAGACGGAGAAAGGGATCTTCGACTCGGTGTTACGCGGGGAGTTGGATTTCAGCGATGATCCATGGCCGAAGATCTCCTCCTCGGCCAAGGAGCTCATCCGCCGGATGCTCAACCAGAACCCGAGCGAGAGGCTGGCGATCCCGGAGATCCTTGGTAAAACTCTTGGAACTCTTTGGAATTCTCGCTTGATAACGATGTTTTTCGTGTGAAGATCATCCCTGGGTAAGGCCGGATGGTGAGGCGTCGGATCAACCCCTGGATCAGTCTGTTCTTGCGAGAATGAAAGGCTTCACGGCCATGAACAAGATGAAGAAGATAGCTCTCAAGGTATAAACAAAAGCTTTCTTTTGATCCAAGTTTGACGAAAGAGGAGTTCTAGATCATTGCCGAGAGCCTGTCCGAGAAAGAAATCAAGGGTCTCAAAGAACTCTTCAAGAAAATGGACGTGGACAAGAGCGGCACCATCACCTTCGAAGAACTCAAGTCGGGCTTGGCGAAGCAAGGCTACGATATGGCCGAGTCGGAGGTCCGAGCGATCATGGAGAGTGTAAGCTATTAAACTTGTTTGGTACTTCAATCAGAGCTTGTGGATCTTTCTTTGGCCAGGCCGATGTCGATGGAAACGGGACGATCGATTATCTCGAGTTTATCTCGGCGACAATGCACATGAACAAGATGGATCGGGAAAATAACTTGCTCGCGGCCTTCAAGCAATTCGACACGGACAATAGCGGGTAAAAACTTCTCTTTTTTTTCAAGGTTGATAGCCCGTTTTTTTTTCCTTCGCAGCTTTATCAGTGTTGAGGAGCTCGAGCAAGCTCTGTACAGGTATGGAATGGTGGACGAGGGGATGATCAAGGATATAATCAAGGAAGTGGACGTGAACAAGGCAAGTAGATTCCAAAACGTTGTGGGAGAGAAACGAGCTTGCATTTCCAGGACGGGAGGATAGATTACAACGAGTTTGCTACGATGATGCTGCGAGCGGGATCGAGTGCTGAAGAGGGCGGGATCAAGCGCTTGGAAGCACCCGTTGGAAAACCAAAGCCGCGAGCATAGAAGGTTTTGTAAGAACTTGTGTACAACCTTTCGGTTTATCTCGCATGGGGGGATACGAAAAACAAAAGAGGAGTCGATCAGTCGAGTGAATGAGTCCTAAGTTTCCTGGTTCAGACCGTGCTGGAGAGAGAAAAGAAAAGTGTGAGAAATCGATGAGCGAGTGAGAAATCGAAGAGGAACGAACCTTTAAAAGATACATGTGGTGGCTCGACGACACAGCAGTCTGGATATGCCGTGCGAGCTCCTCCACTTTGCGTTCCTCGAATTGGAAGTTTTCTTGGAGCTTTGCACCTTCGCCAAGTTCCCTGTACAAAGCTGGAAGACGAAAAGAGGAAGAGGATCACCTACGGCGAGAGGGAGAGGGGAGAGAGAGAGAGAGAGAGAGTTCAAACCGGTTAATTCCGTTAGGACACCAATCTGTCCTGAAACATCGTGAAGAGCCTTCGCCAGTGTAAACGACGATTTGAGGATGTCCAAGGCCTGCGAGGTGTCATGGATAGCAAGGGCCAGGCTTCCGAGCACAGTAAGGTATTGGGAAACCAGTTGATGGTTGCCGAGTTGTTTGTGAGTTAGTTTTAGTCCATTAGCAAGCCGTGTCCTGAAACACCATAGTAGAAAGCTCATCTTAATGCCAAGCACAGAAACTAGCGAGTATGTACCGTGCTTCTTGCGGGTTATGTTGCTTCATTTGCAGAAGACCTGATGCGAAGAGCACTAGCGTCTTCTCTCGAACTCCAATGAAAGAATCCATGGATCTATAGACAGGTCCTATTAAGTCAAGAGCCTGCATTGATAGGGAAGTATCTAACTTTCTGTACATGCGAGGACGGGAAGTTTACATACCTGGGAACACGAGTCGGCGTCACCCAAGCAGATAAGAGATATAGCCGAATAAACATGGCATAAGGCTTTCAAGGCTTTACTCTCAGTAAGCTGTCACGTACGCATTCAGTGTAAAAGAAACGTAGACACGATGTTACCTTAGCAGCTTCGATGAAATGCAGAGCTCCCTCCTGAAAGCAGCCAACAGAATGTGCGTAGTGGCCCAAGAGCATGTGAATTGAGCTTTCACAACCTTGAAGAATCGTTGGAAATCGAAAGTAGAGATCCAGCACCTCCATCAAAGCCTAAACAAAAGAACGGCTCAAGGGTCTGCAGTGAAAAGAAACTTGCCTTTTGAGCGTCCATAAATTCGGTTCGTGTCAGGTCAATCAGGATTTTGTTCTCTAGAAGCTGGAACTGGAGCACAAGATATACGCCGGCCATCCATATGCTCCAGTGCGGTAAATGAGTTTCTGAGGTTAAAAAAAACAAAATAGCATTAAAACGCTGTTTAATTCAAGAAATACCTTGAGTAGATGATGTGATTCCCAGCTTTCCAAGTTCTCCTGCACATCAACGCTGTAACATTGTATCACAATCCAAGAAGCTATCTTACCGTTAACGATACTTAAACCAGATTGAAGGCGCTTCGTCGTTTCTTTAAACATGCCTTTTGGACGAGCGCATGTCACAGCCATCAAGTCCACCAAAATCAGCACAGCACCTGTTGGCAGCCACTCACCATCGAGTGGAAAAACACCCAGTGGCAGTTTGCTCTCCTGCTTCCACGCGTTGCCGTAAAAGAGATACTTGTAGAAGCGTTCCTGATCTTTGAGTCCCTCTAGCTGACGGTCCAACTCGTGATAGAATCCAACCAACTCATTCCTCTTTTGCTCGTGGATGCCCTGTTCTTTCAGCTGCCCTTGCAGGATTTTCATCTCCTTCTGTAAGTCATGATCCTGCATTTCTAGTGTCGACATGCACGCTTGTTTCTCTTCGGGAGCTAGCAACTGTAATCGGGCTGTTTCATACTTGCTAGACAGTGCCGCATCCAAAAGCTCGACGTGATGGGAGGCTGCCTTGTAATCGCATACACGCAGAAAGTAGAAGACATGAAGCAGCTGGTTGTAGACGTGTAGTCCGGGATGCAGCTCCCTCTGCAAAAAGTTGCGCTCGTAAAAAAAAAAAAACTTCCAAGAGCTGTTTTCAAGTAGTTGTCTCACCGTTTGGTGAGGAAGTTGATCCCAAAGCTGGTCGCAAAGGCTCACAGTTTGCTGCAGAGCGGTTAGATTGTCGCTTTCCATAAGATGAACGTGAAGCATTGATACTGCAAACAGTAGCTGCAAAAAGAAAAAGATTAGGCAACACAAAAAACGTTCAGAGCACGAAAAATAAACCTGGAGCTGCGGAAACTGAGCTTTCGAAGCATACACGAGCCCGGCTTCCAAGGCTCGGATGACATTAGGAAAATCGCCCTCTATCGTCAAGGCATTGGCAAGCTGTAAGTTGAAGTTGCATACCCATAACAATGGTGACAATCTGACAATCAACATAAAGCATCAGAAACTTGTTTAAAAAACTCGAAGAACTTACCCATCACCAGTAACAGCCAGATCCAATCCTTTCTTGAGAACTTGCTTCTGGGGACCGATCGTCCCCACGAGATGATAGCACCGACTGAGTAGACTGTATGCTCGGCATTTGAGCTCAAAGCACGAAGGTATTTGCTTCAACAGTAGTTGCTGGAAAAAGAAAAAAACGTTGTCACTCATGGAAATCCAAAGAAGTAAGATGCTATCATGCAAGACTTAAAGCAAAAGGAAAGAAAAAAAATTTCTAGCAACGTACCGCTCGTTCCAGATGATTCTTAGCGTGCAGTAGATTGTCTGTGTAGTTGAGGAGCACAGTAGCGAGCTGGAGCCGCGTCTTGACCTCCACAATCGGCAGGAAAGGGCTGCGGCTCTGGCAAATCGCCTCCAAGCATTTGACCGCCTGCGAAATATTTCCACTCTGCTCAAACCTGTCCGCCAAGATCCATAGCCCCTCCGCCACGGCATCCATTCCCCACCTCTACTGGCATCGCATTGCTTGGAATCACTAGCTGCCCGAGTCAGCTCACCTCAGACATCCATCGCTCCGCGAGACCTGGAGTAAAAATTTTGAAGAACCCTAAAATTTCTATCCTAAGGGGGTTTTTCCTGGTCAGGGATCTCTAGCCGCGCCACAGCGATCGCGCTTGGATTCTTTGATCTGCGCTGTGCTGCCGGTGATCGCGCGTGGAGCGGCACCGCAAGCATGGGTTTGAGTGATGATCACGATGGTTATTACCGCGGGCCAAGATTAGGGCTCTTTCATTTCTATGCAGATAGGAGGGAGAGGCGGAGGGAGCGAGCTGTGAGCTGGGGCGATGTCCGCAGTGTGGCTCCACGTCTACGATGTCACCAACAGCATGTCGCCCAAGACCAACAGCACCATTGCAGGCATCAATCGCTTCTTCCGCGACGGCATTGGCATCGGCGGCATTTTCCATGGCGCGGTCCAGGTTGCTCTCTAGGACATAGCTCGGGGTTGGATTTCCTGGAGTTTGTGATCAATCGATCGGTTCTTCGTCTTCTCTTTGTGTCGAATTTCCAATATGCCGCCTTTGTGTTCCCGGTTTTTTTGTTGGTTTTCTTGCTTATCGTCTTTGTCTTCTTTCAGCGCGTGTCAAAGAGTTCTTGTTGTTCCTCTTGGCTCTGGATTTTTTTTTCCTCCCAAGAGCTAAGTCTTGTCGATTTCCAAATGGTCTGTACCTTATTTGTTCTTCGTCCTCCTTTGTCTTATTCCTGGAGATCTTTTCACTTGCAAGAAATATCAAATTTTTTTTCTTGGAAGAGCTAAACATACCATAATGCTGGTCCTTTTCATTCTTTCACCCTTTTGATGTTCTTCCTTCCAATAGCTAAGCTTTGGACTTTCATTAAAAGAATGGTTTTTTGGCTTCACAGGTGTTCGAGGAAGAGTGGTCATTCGGCTACTGTGAGAATGGGAGTGGAGTTTTCGGCTGTCCGCCCAAGAGCAATCCCATGTACACGTACAGAGAAACGGTGTACATCGGAAACACGCCTTTCTCCGAGGAGAAAGTAAACCAGATCCTGCTCGAGCTCAGCAAGGAATGGCCCGGCTACTCGTACGACCTCCTCGCCCGCAATTGCAACCACTTCTGCGACGAGCTCTGCGTCCGGTTGAGCGTTCCCAAAATCCCAGGTAAGTTTCTTGTGGTTCCTCCCACGTTTCTCCTTTCGTCTAAAGTTTGCTTTCGTGTTTTGCTCAGCTTGGGTGAATCGTTTCGCAAATGCCGGGGATGCCGCAGTCGATGCCGTTGGTAACACGGTGGAACGGGTACGAAAACTCTCTCCTTCTGTTTCTTCTGTCGGTCTCATACGTTATCTCTCGATCGTCGCAGATAAAGCAAGCAAAGTCGGACGTGGCGGCGGCGAGCAAGATCGCGGTGCGCTTCATCTTCGGCGGACTCCCGCGGCCGGGATCAAACGGCGAGCTCCCCGCCGAGGAAGGCAGCTCCGGCCTCCGCAACTTATTCTCCAGGGCCAGAACGTTTCCTCGCTCCGAGGATGGAGACGAGCTCCACACCAGCGCCTCCAGCTTCGACAACCTCAGCACTAACAGCAGCTCCTCCGCGTTCGCGAGATCAGCGTCGCAAGGCTCCTCCCAGGACGGGTTTCTCAGCGCTGGCCTCTTTAGCAGACTTAACAGGAGTGGTGGCGAGAGTGCCACCACCGCCACCACCAACGCCACCGCCACCACCAACGCCACCGCCACCGCCACCGCCACCACCACCACTCAGACATAGTCTCTTCGTCATTGTTGTGGAGAAGAAAAAAACTGGGATGATTAGGAAAACTAATGCTTTGCTAGTGTTGTTTGTAAAACATTTTATTGTATTAATAATAAAATTTCTGCCGGTGGTTCTATTATTAAATTTAGTTAATTTTAAGTTACTTTTTTTTCTCTGCTCCTTTTCTCTTTAGTTCTTTCTGGTTTTGCTAGGGTTTTGTTGTTAATGGATTAATTAGATAGTTTTTTTTTTTTTTGTGTGCGCGGTCCTTTTGATGAGAATTCGCAAGAAGCGTTCCACCACAGTAGCTGTGGTATTGGCCACCGACCAATTGGGAAATGTTTGTAACTGGTGTGGCGAGGCAATCGATCCAAGCGAGGGCGATGGAGGTAATTTGGAGGAGAGGGGTCTCTCGCTCTCGTCTTGTCTCCGTGTTAGCGGTGAAAAGGCACGTACTTTTCTCTTGCGGGTTTTGGTTCTTACTTTCCTCTGTTCTTTCGCTCAGCCAGTGGAAAGCCATGCTTCTCTTCGTTGTTCGTCGCTTCCACCCCCAAGGTTCGATTGTTCGATTGCGTTTGTCTTTCCCTTTCTCCATTGAAACTTTTCGTGCCGAGCAGCTGCACAGGAGGAGATGATTCGAAGAGTTCTGGTAAAAAGATGAAAGCTTCAACTTGCCTTTTCTCTTTCCTTGAATTGGAGCTCTTTTTGCAGCGGCGGAGGAGGCGGCGGCTGGAACACCAATATCTCAGTTGCTGCGCATGGTCTTCGCCCAGACTCCAAATGCGAGCCTCACTCCTCGCCAGGCCTTGGCACGAATGATGATCTCGGGGCTCTGCGGCGGCGAGGAGCCGGCTCTTGTGCTGGAACAGGTTGCGACGACCATGAGCACGGATCCTTACTTCCTACAGCTCAAGCGCGGGCGGTTTCGCGTGAGGAATAACGCTGACGAGATGGACGATGGTACGCTCCCGGTGCCACAGACGCCGAGAGCCATCCCGAAAACTTTGAGGCTGCTGGACGGATTGCCTGACTTGGAGCCTGCCGATGTTCAAGGAGGCGAGACGCTGTGCTCCTGCAAAAACGGGAATGGTTGGAAGTGTTCACAGAAAGCAAAGCCGGGGTACCTTTTGTGCGAGCACCACTTGGATCTAAACTTCAGGAGAAAAATGAGAAGGGTCAGTCGCATGAAGGACGAGCTTACGTCCAGAATGAAACAAAAGAGTCACTACCTTGACAAGCTAAGTTAGTTCTAAGGAGTTTTCCTGTACAACAAAATCCTCAAGAGATATATTTTTGCACGGCGAAGCTAGTTGTCTCAGAGAGAGAATATCTACACTTACCGCGTACCTTTCTTGCTTTCTAGCTATATCTAGATTACAGTTCCATCTGCAATCGTTGCGTTTTTCAATATCACAGTAATCCCGGAGCGAATGTAGTATCCCTCGGATGGCTTCTCTGCTTCTTGTACATTCTGCGCCAAAACAAAGGATTAGCATAGAGCAAGACGAAGCAATCAAATCTAGTCTCACGTCTTTGTTGGCGATGACGACGTTCTTTCCTATTCGAACATTTTTGTCGAGAATACAGTTTCTGCGTGTTTGGAAAAGTAAGTTGTGTAGAAGTTGCATAATCAACCGGCTAACCTTATTTTGGCATTCTGACCAACTCCGACTGGCACCTTCCCCTCTGCAACCATACTTGCTATCTCAGCCTCCGTCTCGTAGAAGTCGGCACCAAGCATCATCGTATCTTGAATCTCAGCACCAGCTTCGACTCGAGAACGAATACCAATCACAGAATGCGTGACACTGCATTCTTGAAGAAAGCATCCATGCGAAACTATGGAGTCCAAAACCTACCGAAGACACAGTTGCTCACTGAAGTGTCACTAGCAATACAAACACGAACCCGGCATTTTTCAATCTTAGTTGGTGGTAAATATCTGGGAGAGGTGTATATCGGTTTCGCTGCATCATAAAACCTGAATTTTGGTGGCTGCATAGATAGAATGTATCTTGAGAAAGAGTAAAAAGAGCACTGTAGTATTACCTGGCAAGTAAGAGCAAGATTTGCTTCATAGAACGACTTAATCGTCCCGATGTCCTCCCAGTAATCATTAAACAAATAAGCCTGTGAACTACGCTGTTGATAGTACAGAGCAACCATTCACCAAGAGACAAACGAAAGACCAACCTGCACGTTGTACTCTTTTGCTGAAGCAGGCAAAATTTCTGATCCAAAATCATTTGCTGTAGGGTAGCGCCATCTACGAAGAAAAGAACGATAAGATCTTCTACATCTATAGTCAACAATTTGTACCTTAGAAGCTTCAAAAGAATATCTTTTTTAAACACGTAAATTCCCATGGATGCAATGTACGGCTTTTCGATGGCCTCTTCAGGCGTCAAGCCCAATACAGTAGTGTCCACTTGCTGGAAGTAGGAAAATAGAATATGCACAAATTAGTATACAAACCGCATGCTGACGAATAATACCATCGCTTTCAGATCAGCTCCTTTCGGCTTTTCGCTGAAATAAAGTATCTGCCCATTGGCATCAATTTTCATCAGCCCGAAATCAGACGCCCGGCTTTCAGACCACAGAAAAGAATCACGTAAGTATCACGAATGAAAAAAAAAACGTGGCTAGTTCTACCTGTCGTCCATTGGCACGCAACCAATGGTTATGTCTGCTCCAGTATCTTGGTGTTTCTGCGAGTCAGCAGGAATTCTGGATCATAAACAAATAAAAATGTCATGTTATCGTAAACCTGAATGAATTCCATGTAGTCCATTCGATACAGATGGTCTCCGGATAAAACAAGAACATTCTCAATCTCTTTACTCCTAGTATCCTGAAAACAAGCGTAACATGATCGAGAAAATGAAGGCTCGCACAGTCAAAAGTACCTCAAAAACCCACGTGAACTGTCGAACAGCGTCGGCAGTCCCTTGGAACCAGTTCATTCCTGCTTCCCCGGGAGTCTGAGTTGCAGCTAAAACCTGAAAACGAAAGGCTTTCTAAACGTTTACAGTAACAGCGCTTTCAAGTTCTGCCTACCTCAACAAAACCATCTCCAAAATTCACACCATTACCAAAATTGTACGTCCGAGCAAGGTGCCGATTCAAAGAAGCCGAGTTAAACTGAGTGAGGATGAAGATTTTGTTTATTCCGCTGTTGATGCAATTGCTCATTGGCACGTCAATAAGTCTGTAAGCGCCTCCAATTGGTACCTGTAGTGAACATGCCAAGAG